GTCAGCATTTGATCATTTTTCAATTCTTTCTAGTCTTTTTCCTCCTTAAAGGGTTATATTCGCCGCTTCCAATCGCCAAAAAGGTGGGGGGGAACCCCTCCCTTTTTCACTCTTGGAGGTATTTTTGTTTCTTGGGAGTTCTCCTTTTCAGGAAAATAAGTAGGATAGAGAAAATCAATATTCTTACCCAGATTTCAAACGCACTGCTTACAATCAGCTTAGAGTAGAGCTTTTGACTTCCGTTGCTTGCAGCTGGGGCTAGACAATGGAGTTAGCTAGCCTTTCTCCTGTTGGTTTCTGGAAGGCTTCTCCTGGACCGATTGGGGAGACCGCCGTCTCTCCTAGGTCTCTAGGACTACCTTCCTTCATTGCCACCTCTCCGGGGCAGCTTCTGGCCCATTTATGGTCCCCAAACAGAAAGAAACTCAGCTGGAGGGCTCAGCATCCCGAATCCCTCAACTGATTTCACTGCTCACAGGAAGTAGAAGTCCTCTCTCTCTAAGTTTATTGATGTCAGCTCTCTTGAAGTCCAAGACTTCAGTTTGACTTTTTTCTATTGCTTGAGCTTGCATAATGTTGAATTCCAATAATGCATGATCACTCCTCCCCAAGTTTCCTGTTACTTCAATGCCTTGTATCATTTTAACCGTGTTAGTGAGAATTAAGTCCAGTATGGCTCACCCTCTAGTTTCCTTCTCTATCTTTTGGGAGACACAGTTGTCTGCTAAGTTTGTCAGGAATCTGTTTGATCTTCCACTAAGTGCAGAGTTTGTCTCCCAGTTGATGTCAGGGTAGTTAAAGTCCCCCATTACTATTGTGTGCTTCCTACATACCTTAGTTAACTGACTAGCAAACAGTTCCATCTATTTCTTCTGTTTGGTTGGGTGGCCTGTAGTATACACCTATGGCAATGTCATTCTTTTTTCCTTTTATATTGACCCAAATGCATCATCATTCTGTTTTATTTCTGTACAGATAGTTATTTCTTATATATAGCACAACTCTACCTCCTCTTTTATTAGGTCTGTTTCTTTTAAACAATTTAAATCCCTCTAGCTGTATATCCCATTCACGGGTTTTATCCCACTAAGTTTCCGTAATGGCAACAATATCATATGTGTCCTCATGTACTTGGATTTCTAGTTCACCGTTTATTCCTCATAATTTGTGCATTGGTGTGTAGGCATTTGAGTCTTTTTTGACTGACTCCATGCTTGTTTTCTACATACCCTGTTTTGTGTCTGAGTTCCCCTTCATCCTTATCACTGGTTTGATTAGTGCATATGGTATGGCATACACTATCAAAAGCTTGATTTTTCTTAGGAGTTACCTTAATATTCTTACCCGTACAAACATCTATGTTAGAAACATATCAACTGTAAAATATATATAAATTGTATAAAAACTCTATAGCTGTTGTTTCTTGTTTCAACCAAATTGTTACTGTATTTATTCAGTTACAGGGACAATTTGTTTTTCCCATTTAGTATGCTGGACACCTTTAAGCTAAAAACCACATTAGCCATTACTACCCTGCAAACTGCAGACAACACTTTATTGTAGCACAAGGTTTCATTTTTCAAAATATGGATATTTCATCAAAATAAGTTTTTTTCATACATAAATGGCTTTTGCATCAAATAAAAACTTAAAGGCATTTAAGCTATATATCTTGAGGTTATTCTTCCTTTTACAGTTTAAAACAAAAATGAACACATTAGCTTCATATGGATTTTTTTTCAAATATGAACAATATATTGAGCAGAAAATTTTACTTTGTATACCATTTAAACATTTGGCAAAATAATTCTTTAAAACAGTGCAATGTTTGTTTGGTATGTGTCAGTTTTCTCTCTCCCCCCCAAAACAAACAAACAAACAAACAAACAAACAAACAAACAAACAGTAGGCCACATTTTTAACAGTTGCTTGGACAAATCCATTTAGACTAGTGAAAATGAAGCCGGCACAGTCCACCAAGAATGTGTGTGCAATTTTCACTAAATTAAACAGAAGCACCATACATTAAACAAGCCTATTCATGGTCAAAGGACATATTTCTAGGAGATTATAGCATTTATGCCAGTTTTCTCAAGCCTCCTGCTCATAAAATAGGTTGGTTTATAATTCTATCATTCCCATACATTATGGCCATTGGCTTGGGATGACAGGTTTTAGGTCAACAAATCTGAGGGAGTTCTAGGTTTAAATAGGCTGTTTCATGCAAAAGAGAAAAGAGAAAGGCCACTGTATCCTGCTGTCCAAAGATGTCAATCTATGCTTGTTTCATAATTAGATATAAAATATATCATAATTTACCCAATTTCAGCAAGTTGCAATGTGTGTTGCTGTTAAGTATATGCTTTTGTTTCATTGCAGTTAAACCTGCTCTAGTTTCTGTGGCTAAGACAGGACTAGAACCTGGGTCTCTGTGCTCCTTCCTGGTCAAAAACATATTGAATCAGACCACTGGTCTATAGTTCAATTTTTAGTTCCCTCTACTAATACCCTCTCAACTTTCAAGAGAGTAGATTTTCTGAGCCATGCTAGAAGAAGCTGAGAACTTCATCTAGAAACAGTGGGTCTTTTTTGTTGTAACCGAAAAAGGTGAGACTGAAGACATTTTAATTTACGAGGTGAAAAATCTAATAGCATTTCAATACTCAGAATTAGCAAAAGAAATGTCACCCATTGAAAATATTTCCTGTGCAAGTCAGCAACATGCTTTTGTTGCAGATCTTTTTTTCATTTCAAGTGGGCTTACCAAACTACTTAGCAGAAAGCATGCCTATGGGTTAGTTCACAGTTCGGCAACCTGCGGCTCCCAGCCTCCTCTGCCATTTGCAGAGAGAGGGGGGGGGGCACTTGCACTTCCCTTCTCTCTCTCTCTCTCTCTCTCTGTCTGTGTGTGTGTGAAAAAAGTGGCCTCACCCTGTTTAACGAGCTAACAAGCTTATTGGGTGGGGCTCCTGCCTTGGCTGCATCTCTGTAGGAAGCAGGAAGGGCAGGAGAGAGCTAGCTAGCCCAGCTATGCTGACTCAGGAATTCTGGGAGTTGAAGTCCATGAGTCATAAAAGAGCCGAGGTTGCCTACCTCTGAGCTCGCCCAATAAGAATGTGTGTCAGCTTGTTGGAGAATGGCTTGAAGCCAGCTTGCCAGATGAGCAGAAGATCGGAGAGAGGGAGGGGGGAGAGAGAAAGAGAGAGAGAGAGAGGGAGAGAAAGAGAGAGAGAGAGAGAAAAGAGAGAGGGGGGAGAGGAAAGAGGGGGAGAGGAAAGAGAGAGGGAGAGGAAAGAGATAGAAAGAGAAAGAGAGGGAGAGGAAAGAGAGGAAAGAGAGAGGGAGAGGAAAGAGAGGGAGAGGAAAGAAAGAGAAAGAGAGAAAGAGAAAGAGGGAGAGAGAGAGGGAGGGAGAGAGAGAAAGCGAGGAGGGGGAAGCGCAAGTGCCTCTCTCTCTCTCTCTCTCTCTCTCTCTCTCACACACACACACACACACACACACTGAGTGGGGGAAGAGGACTGGCAGACCAAGGGCAGAAAGAGAGAGAGGGAGAGGGAGGGAGGGAGAGACAGAGACAGAGACACTTTTGACATCTAAAATGAAGATAACACTGCATATATCCTTTTTTACCTTTATGATACATGCATACATACATACATACATCCATACATACATATATATAACCTATAATAAAAAAGAATATATGCAGTGTTATCTTCATTTTAGATATCAAAAGGGTTTTGCGGCTCCCAGTGTTTTGTTTTTGGTGGGAAACGGGTCCAAGTGGCTCTTTGAGTGTTTTGGGTTGCCTACCCCTGAGTTAGTTCTATCTGCTGCTCTTGAATAGCAACCAATGGCATTCAAACACAACTTACCTAAGATGGGGATTGTTGCAGGGAACCTCTGTAGATGTGTGAGATTTTGAAACCTATTATAAGCAGGCTCAGTAAAATAGATACAAAATAGACGTGCTCATGTACAAAGCAGATTACAGCCAGTTGTTCAGCCTAATGAGATAGGTGTAGGGGGAAAGAAGAGAAATAGAAGACTTTGTTGGTGCATTCAGAAGTCAGAGCATCCTTTTTCCTCTGTACTTAGCAGTGAAATCCTTGGACCTGCTCCCCAATTGCAACACCCAAATTCAATCCCCCCCAACCATTATTCCGATTGTAATTTGGTATTTTGCCATGTATTTTAATGAAAGCATCCTCCACAATCTGCTGAATTTTTCATTCATAGGAAAAAAACAACTGACATGTAAAAACCCAACAACACTAAATGCAGGAGCTTGGTGGTAAGCAAGTATCTTGCAACAAGGCAAATTGAAAGAGCTGGAAGTGGGTTATACTGCATTACATACAAAAAAGGCTCCAGAGGGCTCAGGGGAACCTTGCATGGGCAGGCTGCATTGCATAGGAGGCCCAAAGAGAAGCAATGCTCCCAGAGTGAATGCCTCTTACACAGAATGCTGCATACAGGTATGTACACTGGAAACATAGGTTAAATGCAGGCACACACATACTGTTTGTCCTGGAAGTACCTAAGAAAAGAAAGACTCAAAACGTCAAATGACAAGGCTTTGAATAAGGCTTACTCTCCTCTACAGCTCAGTCCCCTCTTGTCCCAGACACCAAAAGGCTTCTAGACAAGAATGGCAGTGTGTTGTATTCTGGGAGGAGAGAGAAGGGTTCCCAGCATAAATGAAATGATAGCTTGGCAGAAGGAGATGGTGTGCAGAAGCAGAAGGCCTGAGGTAAGCTTCTCAGAAGAGCAGGTAGAAAACCAAGCAATACATTCCACTGCCTTTTCTACGTGGGCAAGGGGAGAAACAGCACCCACTGTCTCTCAGGTACCTCACCCTCTCAGCCTGAGGCCTCCCCACAGGGTGAAACATAGAAACATAGGTGAGGAAACCCATCCCTATAGCAGCTGCACACACCCTCAGGCCAGTGATTCCAATATTTCAGTCTCCTTGTGGTCTCTCCAGGGAAGGGACGGGGTCAAGACTGAGCATGGGAGATCCACTGGCTGTCTATGGGGCGCCTCAGCAATTCCTCCACGTGTTGTGTCACATCCATTGAATCATCCAAGTTGAAGTCTCCTTCTGGATCCAGCACTAAGTCAGGACTGAGACAGAGAGAAAGGAGCACCATGAAAAAGCTCTGAATTCCAGAAAGCTATTTCTGAAAGGATTGTGGCTCTTTAACTGTTCTTAGCTTTCTCAAAACTTACAGTTCTTGGGGTTATTTGGAAGAAGCTCTAACACTTAATTTGATTTTAGAAAAATATGCAGTGCAAGTCCTCTCAAGTTCATTTATTTCCCCCTTTCTCTAAATTGGAGAGAAATACAGTATCTTTTCCTAATTGTTTAAATATTTTACTCTTCATAAACATGTTTTATGAAGATGTTTTATGTTTTCATCTTTGTTCTTAGTGGGAATATATTAAGAAATGGTACACCCTACTCCATAGGTAAGGTGAAATTTAAATATTGCCCATAGAGTTAAGGTTACATAGTATACGTGCAGCAAAAGAAGATGGAAAAGGTCTGAAATGAATGAATTTACTATTTTCAACTGGGATGGGTATGGGATCACTTTAAAAATGATCTTTTGCATTAAAAAGAAATCTCAATGTAAACTAAAAACTATTGCAATAGGAAATGCAATGGTATAGTGCACAGTTCCCCAACCTTTCTGGCTTTGCGGACAGGCCTGGTGGGGGCGGGGAGAGGGGATGGTTCCACGTGAGCTGCAGGCAACTGTGCACACGCAGCTCCATTTGTGCAAGCGGCAGGCATGCACACACGCCACTCATGCAAATGGAGCGTGCGTGCACGCGCTTGCCCGCCACTTCCGCAGTCCGATTCCTATTCATCTAATGGCTGCCCCATCCACAACTTGCTATGCCTCCTTGCAAGTGAATTTCTTTCAAAGGAGCCCTGAACATGGCCAGCCTTCTGATCCTGACCCCCAATCTGTCCCTACTTGTTCTGCCTATGAAACTTGTCCTATGGAATTTCCTCAGACTCAGAATACTAGCCACCTTAACTGGCAGCAAGAAGTCTGCTCTCCATCTTCTTCCTCATTCTCCAACCTCCTCATCCCAAGTGTTTCTTTTTCTGATCATTGATCCAGAAACATCACCTCCAGAGAACCAGCCAACTGACAACTACATCCTGCTACTGAACTCCCTGTCATATCTTGGAATGTAGCTGGATGGGCCCCAAAACAAGCAGACCCAGACTTTCTAGAATTCCTGTCCAGGGTTTCTATCCTCTCCTTAAACATTACAGGCTGGAAAGCAAAGATGTCAAGATATTTCATTTATGGAATCTATTTCTTCTTTTGATATTTATTTATTAAGTTTATTTGCTGCCCATCTCATGGTTCCAGGTGACTCTGAGCAGCTTACAATGTGATATTCTTTTGTTCCAAGAAACATGGGTTATGGAGGATTTACCAATACCTGGACATATTCCCTTCACTTTCAATGCAGTACCCAGTTCAAAAAAGGACAGACCATCAGGCGGCTTGAGTTTTATGGTTTCAGTTAAACTAAATGTTTCAGTACTTATGCTGGAATCTTGTTCAAATGTGGCTCTAGCCCTCTTATTCAGATTTAAACAATACTCTGTCTTGTTAATTTATATTTCCCCTTAGTCTGTGGGCTAGGGAAGTAAACAATCTGTGGGACCAGTTTGATACTTACATAATTTACTAATATATCAATATCCAGACTCTATACTCATAATAGCCAGTGATTTTAATGCATGTATTGGCAAATCAGATGCCTCTTTGCAATTTTATTTTAAATTGCCCATGCTCCCTAAAACGTATGTGGGCTACTTATTGACCAGACAATCTAAAGGCCATCATTTGTAATATTGCAGGACTTTGCTTGACTCAACTGGTGGACAGTTTAGATCTAGTCATACTTAATGGCAATGTCAGGGGTGACCTAAAAGGGAATTTTACATTCTAGCGCCCCAATGGGTCCAGTGTGGTCAATTATATTATGATTTCCCGGAATTTTGTACATCATACAGTTAATTTCTACATTGGAAATTGCCCTGACACTTCCCACTATTTTGTTTCTTTGACCCTAAAACAAATCTTAAACTATAGTAGACCACTGCCCCATTGACATTACAACAAAGGGTCGAGTAAAGAACAAATGGTCTCCACATCTGGCTAAAGTTATGTCTGGACTTTTGATCTCTGAGTGGTCCCCGATACTGGCCTCCTTATTTATACACATTAATAACACTGGACAATTCCTATCTGAATTGAATCAGGCCATCATTGTACCAATATACAAACAGACGTTACCCTATAAATTATAGGCCTATTAGTTTATTGAACACAATAAATAAACTTTATGCCAGATTTTGTATCTAAAGCTAGTGGATTGGGTATGAAATGAAAATATTATTGCCGAAGAACAGGCAGGATTTAGAGAGGAATGATCAACATTAGATCCTTGTTTGATTCTCCACCATCTGGCAGAAAAATACTCTTCACCTCCTCGAGGCTCCCTTTTTGCAACCTTTGTTGATTTTAAATCAGCTTTCAATTTAATACCAAGGGAAAGACTGGGACAGTCTGAGACATTCCACTATTGACAAAAGGCTGTTCATGCTTATTCAGTCACTCTAGTCTCCCTGAAAATTAGATGAACCCTGCGGGGACATCTATTAAAGCAGTTCCAACATATAGAGGTGTAAGACAAGGTTGTATATTAGCACCATTACTTTTCAATTTACATCTAATTCCAATAATTCAAGTGCTTGCTGTTCCAGCCCACCTTCTGCCTACTCTTGCTGATTGTGCAATTTCAGCACTACTGTATGCCGATGTTGTTATTATGTCTACCTCAAAGGAGGGAATGAGAAAAGCACTTAGGGCATTAGCTTTATTCTGCAGACAACAAAATCTATTAATTATCAGAAAACAAACGTCTTACTTTTGCCTGACATCATAAAATTTATTTATAAAATTTATTGGCCGCCCATCTTACCACAGGGTAACTCTGGGTGCCTTACAGTCATTAAAATGTATCTACACATACACATTAAAACATAAATTAAAACCAAGCATTAAAATCTAATGACACGTGGGGAGGGCGGAGGTAGAGTGGAGGGAGGTGGGATCTGTTGTTACTCGGTCAACCACCTCCACTGTGCTATTCCCCCATTTGGGGCCCCAAGCCAACTGGCGGAGCCAGGTCTTTAGGCCCTTACAAAAGGATAGGAAGGTTGGGGCCAGCCTCACATCAGGGGGCAAGATGTTCCAGACAGCAGGAGCAACAGCACAGAAGGCCCTCCTCCTGGACCCCACCAGGTGGAATAATCAGACTGACCCACAGCATGCCTCCTCTGCCAGCATGAGTGGGACAGGCCAATCCCAGTGGGGTGAGATGGTCCCTCAAGTAGACTGGACCTATGGCATGAAGGGCTTTAAAGGTGATCACCAACATCATGAACTGCACCCAGAAGCAGACCGGCAACCAATGCAGCTCGTGGAGTAGTAGTGTTACAGGTGCCATTCCCCCAAAACTGCCCACGCCACCACACTCTGCACCAGCTGTAGCTTCTGAATGCTCTTCAAGGGTAGCTCCATGTGGGTCTAGGACAATTGACTGTGGCTACATGGCCGTGCTCACTTCAGCCCGGGCCCCCTGCTGTAGCTGAGCCACCGTGGGCGTTCATCCTCAGCTGGCCCATCTTCCTCTCCCACCCTCTCGTCCTGAGTAATTTGCCTAGGGACACCTGTTCCCGGCCAATCTGCACTGCGGGACAATTAGCCACATGTCCCAGCAGCCAATCCATCTGCCAAGGGGTGGGCCTCTGCCTTCCCATTGGACATCACGGCACAAGGTTGCACAGGAAGTGGCCTCTGGCACCAAGGAAGCATGCTTCTGCCGCTGCCTGTTGTGTCCTGCCTGGCTCCGCTCTGCACCCAGCTCCTCTGGCACACTCCGGGGTTGCGAGGAGGAGCTGGGTACAAAGCGGGGTGTCAACTCTACAAATGAGCATGGCTGCAGCCGTTTTACTTCTCATTCTAGGTTGCCACATAGAACGGAGGGAGGGGGGTTGCCCAGGTGCTTTGCTAGTCAAAATAATCTTTTGTCCCATGGGAACCAAGGTTATCGGCTGCTCCCGAGACTAGGGACTGGGCGTTTCATAAAAAGCCAGCCAAATAATCATATTGGGGAATGTAGTTGCTTACATAGCTTTTGTGGGTGGGACATTTAACTTTGTATTGGGAAATTGTTGCTTGTGTATCCAGACTTGGTTTCACTCTTCACTGTGCCGATACTTTGTAACTAATAAACATGTTCTTTGAGGAACTTGCAAGCCTCGGAATTCTGCTTTATTGGTCTCTGTCTGTCAGAACCGTGACACACGGCCATGAAGGATGCAACGGGCAGTGGCACAGCAGCATTGCCTACAGGGCCGCTCAAATCATATTCAGCTGAAGAATGAGAGGCTGCTGGAAGGTGGGGACTGGCAGCATGAGCCGCCAGCCAGTTCTGCATAGAAAGCCGCACAAGGCTCAGATCAAGGAAACTCCATTGTCTGCTTATAATCCCATTTTAAAGGTGTGCTTTCCCTCTCACTCACACACACACATAACTGTGTGTCAGGTCCCCAAACCCTCATTGTTTTCCCTGCATATGTATTCTACTTTTGGGGCCTGCCATTCTGCTGGGGGTAGGGGGGGCTTACTCTCACTTGGGATAACTTTTGCTTTCTACTCTCTCCTCCTGCCTCTATCCCCTTGAGAAAGGAATGTGTCTTCCTTATCAGGGAGACAGTTACAGAGAAATGAAACTGGAGAAGACCTTGAGATGCGTGCCAACTGTGCCAGTTACCCACTCATCTGACTTTGGTGGGAGGAGGAATATTGTTAGCTTAACTATACCTTTTGCGCGGGATTTTCCCAGATCTCGCCTTGACTTCCCTACTGTCACTGACCCCTAATAAAAGTATCCTTTTGAGACAATGCCTATTTCAAGAGTTCTGTTTTCTTGGGTGGTTAGTTGAAGTGGGTCCTTACATAAGGCGAGATCTGCATAGCACTCAACCCAGAGAAGCTGCTATCCTACTGGGGGAGTCGCAAACT